ATTCCATTCCCTTTTTATCGACGCGAGCGGGTCATGCGACGTGGGAGGAGGTCGCAAACGTGTGCGACGTGCAAACGAACAGCTCAACGTGTGCGGGATGGCTTCGGCAGAGCAGGTATGGTATTTTTCTTTCTTTTTTTTTTGTTTCGGGACACCGGTCAACAAAAAGTTATATTACAAAACTATTGTGAGTGGCGATTATGTGAATTCCGATTTTTTGCATTCATATTTCATAATTTTAGGAGTTTCAGGGTGTCGCCCTCTATCCGCTTGTATTAGGAGAGTGGCACTAGATATAAAGCACATATTGATTTCCATATGAAGGGTAGGCCAAGTCTTTATGGAAAGTAGAAGCAGTCCAAAATTGTCCACATATGGATTTGAATTGAAGGGCGACCAACCATACATGTTTGAAAATTGTTTGACTTATTTTGAGTGCTCATTCATCAAATAGTTACAATATAAGGAAGGGGCCAATCATGCAGATAAGGGAGGAAAATTTTTATTTGAGCGTAATTAATTACCATGGCAATGCTTGATAATAGATTATTGTACTTCATGACCATCATTACATCTCCATGGAGTTATTATTCATCTCTATCCATCATCATAAACCACCTAATTCCTCTGTAAGAGAATAAAGAATGAAAAAGAGGTTTAGGCTCCAAGCCAAAATCTACTTCTAATCCCAGGAGAAAATTAGTTCAAGTCCAAAACAAGTATATACAAGCATATCTTAACTGAAAAATTCAAATCAACTGATGGAACTATTAGATTCTGCCTAAATCACCACCTGGAATAGTATATTAGATCCTATTGAAATCTAATCCACCAAGAAAAATAGGCATTTTCGGATATATTCCTTGGAAATTAATCGTTCTTCCGAATCATCATCTATCACCACCAATTAACGTGTTAAACTATACTTCACAACCACCACCTACCACAGAAAAATCATCGAATTTATAGGCTAATAGTTTATTTTTGAAGCAAAGGCAAGGATGAGGATGAGGAACGATTTCGAGATAACATAAGGATGAGAGAGTGAGAAATTCCGCTAATTAGATTGATTAATTCCCTAATGTAACAGGCAATTGACTCCTTGAATGTAATGGGTGAGCAAGTCCCCTTATATTTGAGTGAGTAATTCCCAATTTTACTGAGATGTTGACCCATATAATTTAAACTACACGCCAAAAGAACAAAAGTGGCGGATCGAGCAGCGCACGGGTTGGTACGACGCATCATTTGAAGGGTCAAATGACCTCTGAATGCCAAATGGATGGCATCGTTGCGATCAGGACACTGAACTCTACTGGGTCGAGGCGCTCGCAATTGAATCAGACGAGATCGGTCAAACGAGACGACCGACACCCGAAATTAAAGCGCAAGACTGATCAAACAATCCCGATCGACGAACAGACTTCATCGTTGCATCCCGAATGTTGCCAACCTATGAAAATTGTATTTTGTTTATTCAATTTGGAGTATCTAGATTGGTGGCACGAATCCCAATGTAATACAAAGATGCGCATATCGAGGAAATTTGCCTCTACGGAGACAAAATGATGTCCAATCGATAAATGGATAATGCCATTGCGTCCGAAACGTCGTCCCCATTCAGAATATACATTTTATTTAATAAATTTGGATCATTCGAGATGGTGGTGAATTTCTAGGCTATGCAAATATGATATAAAGGCCTGTGTTAAGACGGAAACGAGGCCTCGAAGACGCTCGGACGACGTCCGATCGACAAACGGACAACGTTATTGCGTCCGGAACATCGTCGACATTAAGGATATACATTTTATTTAATAAATTTGGATCATCCGAGATGGTGGTGAATTTCTAAGCGATGCAAATATGATATAAAGGCCTACGTTACGACGGAAACGAGGCTTCGAAGACGCTCGGACGACGTCCGATCGACAAACGGACAGTGTCATTGCGTCCGGAACGTCGTCGGCATTAAGAGTCTACATTTTATTTGATCAAATTGGATCGTTTGAGGTGGTGTTGCAAATTTCAAATGGCGATTTAAATAAGTTAAGAAGGCATGCATTACAAGGAAAATAAGGCCTCTACGATACTCAAATGAACTCCGATCATAAAATGGACTGCGTCATTGAGATCAGAACATCATCAATACCTTAAATGCACTATCAATTTGTTTAATCTCGATTGTTCGACAAGACTGACACGCATTACGAGGTTACACAAATTTCAAGACAATGCACAAAATCGGAGTTACATTTTTTTATTACGGTGTTGCTATCAACATAATTAATGACATTGCTTATAATAGCATGTTATTATTAGCTTGGCCAACGTATTTAACCAAAAATTTCCAAATTAAATGTAAAATCAAATCATAATTAAATGCAAAACCTCAAACCTCTAAAAATTTCTGATGAAATCCCATTAAAATCCCTTAAATTTCTCTGTTTTATGCGTCTATTCCCGGAAATCCTGCTGAGCATCTTCACAGACCTCGCCTTAGTTGAAATGAGCTCTTGCTATTAAAACGACGTTTTTGGAAGCGAACAAAAGGCATTTCACGAATATTCTAAAATACCCTCGCACATGCACTGTAGTTTGTACACACTTAGGTACACTAAAAGAGAGTATACAATCAACACCCGCATGGGCCCTGACGAGCGTGTTATTAGTACACACGTGACGTATATGGATACTACGCGGGTTATTAAATTTAAACCCGATCCTCCTAAGTAAGTAAATAGGAGTCGACAAAGTTCAATAAATAATTACAAAATGTCCCAAAACACCCGCATGACCCCGAAGAGCGTGTTATTGATACACACGTGACGTCTAGGGATGCTGCGCAGGTTATCAAATTTTAAATCCGATCTTCCTTAGCAGGTAAAAAGAAGTCGACAGGGTTTAATCATAAAATGCCCTAAAACCCGCATGGGCCCCTGCGAGCGTGTTATAAATACACACGTGACGGCTAGGGATGCTGGGCCGGTTGATAAGTGAATTCAAGTTCGAACCCGATCCTTCTATATGGATCAATAGGAATCGACATGGTTCGAACCTTCAAACAAATACACGGTTGTGGCGACCGATGTATTTGCTTTAATACATTCATATTAGGCCTTCAAAGGTCTATAACAATATGAATTCACTAATAAGGGCATAAAGCATACGAAATCCGATCCTCTATTGATAATTCGATAGAGTTGACAGGGTTCAATCAATAAAGGAAAATGACCCCGAACACCCCGATGATAACCGTGTTGAATGCAGATCTCAACCGGAGGGGTTCCCAAATATTTTCAAATGTCTCCCAAATATCCAAAATCAATTTCAAATATTCTAAAGCTTCACCCAAAATACCCATAAAAATCCAAAACTCCACAAAAATCCCAAAATCCCAAAAACATTTAAAAATGAAACTATCCATCCCACTACTTAAAGCAAAATCCATCCATCCACCCTCCGCAACAGTTTGCCGAGGTGGACAAATCTAAAAAATTACTTCATCTCACAAAGAGCTAATGCCTGGTCGTGAATATCACTAGGATCCATTCTCAAACAATCTCTTGCTAGTAAGGACGTGGTACGTGTCCTCTAACCGGCGGTTTTGCCGCCAAATGGCACCACAGGATAAACGGTTATGACCCGGGGCCCTCTGAACCGAGTGGTTTTGCCGCCAAATGCCACCACGAAATACCGGTTATGGCCAGAGCCAACACGCACCTTAATGGCATCAAATCCTTGAGATATGAATCAATAGGATATGATTGATAGGGCACAAAGCCCTCTGTTAGCTAAGGTGGATTCAAAAACTCAAATCATAAAATCCTCACAAAATGAGGGCGAAATCTCTGGGTAGTGTCTTATCTACAATCCATCTGCCTTCCAAAATTTATCCCGGAACTTAGTCCGTTAAAACTCCCATGCCGAGTAAAAAGAAAAGCGAGCGGAGGCCGGGGCCGAATTTTCGGAGCCCACATGAGAGAAAGCCCTTGGGTGAGTACTTCTGCAGATATTATGAGTGAGCAGATCCCTTTAATTTTGGTTGAGTGAATCCCCATTTTGTATCTTTTTTTATGGTAATCAAATCCTTCTTTCCATCTACTTTAAATTTTGATTAATTTTCTTGGTCCATAATCACTAGCCCAAACACTAGTTGAAGTCCAGGCTACCTGTGCTAGGCCAAAGCTCAACTCATCAAATCTTTCTATGGATTCATGCATGATTATCATTCTTATTTGTATGGCATGTACTGTAAACTTAGATTTTCAGCTAGTCTCTAAATCATGTTACTTGTTTGCCGAACAACTATCTATAGGCAGTTACCTCTTTAATCCTTATATTGTTTCCATGTTTGTGAATTTCAAAAATCTTATGTTGCATTGTATTTGGTCATTGCTTTAGGTCCAGGTAAGTTATAGATTGGTACTGCATATGCAGAGAACCAAACACCTAAATATCAGGCAATTTTGCTCAAGGATATACAATTCAAATTTTCTCTCTTTCAAAATCTTTCTTCCGGCTCCATGTTCCCACCCTCGAAAATTTTGATCTCACCATTATTCCTTTCCGGTTGACCATGCTGCTGGCTAAACAAAGTATACCAACTGTTAAGAGCAACGAAGAATAATGTCAGCATTAGCTTTCCATGCATCCTATTCCCGGTAATCCTTTTCCACAAAATCAAGCAACTCCTTCGAATGAGCTTAATTTAGACTTTCTCATTTGTCATGCTCATTCTGAATATCCATCAATAGGCTTAAATGGACAAAGGACTGTTATTGTGGATTAGGAAAAGGACCAGAATAACCTTTGGTATGGTCGTTCAAATAGTTAAGTTTAAATTAACCTTCAGTAGGAAACATTTTTAAGCAACATTATGACACTTTATGCAGCTGTAGTGCCTAAATTTAAATTAGTCAAAGTTGCAACCTTTTTAGCTAATTTTAAGGGAAAACAATTCCTATAACAGCTGAAGAGGTTTGGAATAGAGTTCTTACTGAGTGGAAGTTTCAGCCCATTGGTAAATGCATCCTTTATAGGAGCTGGGAGTTGTTGTAGTGTATTGGTTGCTTGTCCAAATGCACCCTTTAGTTGCTCTGGGATAGCCTGTTCACTTACTGTAGGTGGTTCTACGAGCCCTTCCGTATATTCTTCTTTCATACGTGTAGGTCCCTCTACAGACAATTTGGACGTAAGGAGGAACTTGCCTTCTATCTGCATGTCAGAACAAGCACAATGATCAGCCTGTATTGCAAGAGTAGTATCATATTTGCATTTATGATGGGTATGCAACTAAATGAAAAGTTTAGGATAAGGAACATACGATTACAATAACAAATAACAATAATATCATATGTAATTTTAGTGGGTGTAAATATTATTAGGAAATATTCTTAGAACAATTAATGATATCTAGGTGTGTGAAGGTGCAGTACGCAAAAGTAGATCTTTTATCTACTAGTAATCCTGCATAATCAGCATCGGTGTATGACTCTATGGTTATTTCTTAGTCTCTTCTAAAGAGAATCCCTTTTCCTGGGTTATCTTTAAGGTAGTGCAGTATTATGTCTACTGCTTGCATATGGACCTGTTTTGGATTTTGCATAAACCGACTGACCATACTGACAACAAATGTTATATCTGGTCTGGTGTGGGAAAGATAAATCAATTTTCCTACAAGTCTTTAGTAGGCTCCTTTATTTTCATCTGGGTCTTCTTTAGCTTCTCCTAATTTGAGATTCTATTCTACTGGTGTTGGTACTGGCTTACAGGCTAGTTTTCATGTTTCTTTCAAAAGGTCTTTAATGTCCTTTTGTTGTGAGATGAAAATTCCTTTGCTGGAGTGAGCTACTTTGATTCCAAGAAAGTATTTTAGTCTATCAAATTCTTTGATGTCAAACTCTTTGGTAAGGCTTTTTCTTAAACTATCTTTCTCTTTTGCATTATTTCCAGTCAAAATGATATCATCCACATGCACTAACAATATTGTGACTCCCCCTGAGTCTGAATGTTTAAAGAATAGTGTATGATCTCTTTGGCTTTGTTTATACCCATTAAGGAGCATGAATTTAGATAATCTTCCAAATCAGGCCCTTAGTGATTGTTTGAGCCCATATAGGACTTTTTTTAATTTGCATACCTTGTTACCACTAGAATTTTCCTTAAATCCTGGTGGTATTTTCATAAATATTTCTTCTTCCAGATCTCCATGTAAGAATGCATTCTTTACAATCAATTGTTCCAGATGTCAATTGTATTTAGCTGCTATTGAGAGTAGAATTCTGACAGTGTTCATCTTATCTACTGGTGCAAAAGTTTCCTGGTAGCCAATGTCATATATCTGAGTGTACCCTTTTGTCACTAGTCATGCTTTGTATCTTTTCAGTGTGCCATCAGCTTTGTATTTTATAGAGAACACCCATTTGCAGCCGACTGGTTTTTTTCCTGTCGGTAGATTGATGATCTCCCACGTCTTGTTCTTTTCTAACGCCTGCATTTCATCTTTCATTGTATTTTTCTAATTTTCATCAGATAGTGCCTCAGAAATATAATTAGGAATATGAATTACATCTAGTGTAACAAAGAAGTTTTTGTGTAGGGAGGAAAAATTATTACAAGGATATAGAGTTGGTATAGGATATAAGGGAGGTGGAGAGTTTACCTTACTTTCAGGAGATGATTCAGATTCTTGAATCTGCTTCAAAGCACAGGTTGAACTTGTATACCTAGAATAAAACTTCCAAAATCTAAGGATAGTTTTGTCTTCAGCTTCCCTATTTTGAATTTCAGGAGGATTGGTTTGATGTGGAAGGTCAAGAGGGGCAAGCATATTTTCATCATCTTCACTTTTTTCAATCTCCCCCTGAAGATGAGGTTTAGTAAAGTAGGAGTTGTGCTCATCAAAAATGGCATCAATGGATACAAGCATTTTCTTTATAGGGGGTGATAGCATTTGTACCCTTTTTGGGTGGAAGTGTATCCAATGAAGATACATTTTGAGTGCCCTTGGATCTAGTTTTCCTCTGTTCTAATTGTGTATGTGAATATAGGCAATGCACCCAAAGATTCTGGGTGTAAGGTTATTATGGGTTTAAAATTCGGGATAAAAGGTGGACAAAATATCATTTGGAGCTTTCATCCCCAAGATTTTTTAGGGTAGTCGGTTTATGAGGTAGGTGATGGTTAGGAGAGCTTCTCCCCCGTAGGATTTGGGTGTAGTATGGTGGAGTATGAAGGCACGAGTGGAGGCTAGGAGTTGATAATTTTTCCTTTCCACAACCCCATTTTGTTGTGGGGTATGAACGCAGGAGGACTCGTGGATGATACCTTCACTCTGAAAGTAAGAGTGTAGGGTTTGGTTAAAGTAGTCTTTAGCATTGTATGAACGAAATCTCTTTATTTGACCCCGAATTGATTCTAGATCATGATGTGAAAAATTGGAAGAATGGTGTTAACATTTGATTTATTTTTTATAAGATAGATCCAAGAAACTCGAGTACAATCATCAATGAAAGATAAAAACCAGCGAGCCCCAGAGATGTTGGGGATTTTTTAGGGTCCCCATATGTCACTATGAATGAGATAGAAATGAGTATTGCATCTCTCATTCTTGTTTGAAAAAGATGTTCTTTTATGTTTGGCTAATTCACATGTTTCAAAATGAAATTTTTCATTTTCCAATTTATGAAAAAGTTTTGGATAAATGTGTTTCAAGACTTCTACTGATGGATGTCCTAATCTGAAGTGATTAAGCCAGATAGTAGATATCTTGTCAACGAGAGATAAGATATAGTAGCTATTTTTAGATTTGTTTAGCTCTTCCAGGTGGTACAGTCCACCTCTCTCCTTAGCAAGTCCAATCATCTTCCCCGATCCATGGTCCTGAAATAAGCAAAAAGTATGGCTAAATAAAGCTTGGCATATGGTCCCTGGTAAGTTTTTGTATGGATATAAGATTTGTGGATAATTGAGGAACATTGAGCACATTTTTTAGAGTGAGGGAATGGGATAAGGGTATGTCTCTTTGACCTTCTACTTTAACAAAAAAACAATCAGCAGCGATGATTTTCTTATCTATTGGGCAAGGATCATAATTGATGAAGTGGGTAGTGGAGTTAGTCATGTGATATGTGGCTCCTGAGTCAATGATCCATATTCCTTTCGAATGATTTCTAAAGGTACTTAATCCAATGAATTTGGGAAACTTACCTGAAAGTGAAAGAGAGGGAGATGCAGGTGGTTTTTCATGGGATACCAGGAGTTGTCTAAGTCTTTTAATGTCTTCTCCATTGAGACTTTGGGATGAGTTTTCTCTAGACATTGTGTTGTTATATCAACAATAAAGGCTGATTTGATTATATCAGCAATAAAGGCTGATATCGGGTCTTAATCAAGTTTGATTTAAGATTTCTTACTTCTTTCGGCCTATCCTAGGTATTTGAGAGGGGTGTTTCTGCGGATTTGAGCGGAACAAAAAAAAAACAGAAGATATTCAGTCCAGGCGCGCATCATCCTCCGAGCGGGAGTCGTCGGGGCTGTTCGGCTTCGTTGCTTTCGTAGGAGGTGCTTCTTCGGCTCCTTCATGATTGTTCGACTACGTTCCTTTGGCGTCGTTGTTGTTCGACTTTGGGCGCGCGTCCTCCTCCGAGCAGGAGTCGTCGGGGTTGTTCGGTTTTGTTGCTTCTCAGAAGGTGCTTCTTCGGCTCCTTCATGGTTGTTCGACTATGCTACTTTGACGACTTCTCCTTCATGTCGGTTCGGAAGTTACAATACTTGGATCGGGATGTCGGCTAGGGCTTCCGTCTTCGGCAAGGCGATTTCTTCTTCTTTTCTTCCTCCGATTTATGATCTTTCCATAACGGCAATAAAGGCCATTGGCTCTGATACCATGTTAGAAATCAGAGGTTTGAGAAGAAAAGCTTACTTTATTCCATGATTTCTTCCCTATTTATAGATCAATATAAGAAATTTTGATACAAAAACAAATAATTACATACTAACTACATAATAACTCTAATAGAATCCTCTTCCTAAATCAGCTACCTGAACATGGAAAGAATTCGGGCGTGAGTCATGCGTCCCACAGATCATGCATTGTAGTGGTTGGATCTTATTTGCGTTGAATGACTAGATTTTAACACTTTCTAACCAAGTCTTTTAGGTCTACCTCTACCATTTCTTAACATAAGTTAAATCTAATACATATATTCTTCTAACCAGGTCATTAGAAGGACGAGGTTTTATGTGACCAAACCTTCTAAGGAAGCTCTCTAATCTTATATGTCACTGGAGTTATTCAAACCTTTTCATATATATACTCATTTCACATTTTGTCTCTTAGAGTAAAGCCACTCATACACTTGAGCATCCTCGTCTCTGCAACACTTAACTTAATTTTATGTTTCTCTTTTAAAGGCCAGCATTCTACATGATAAAGCATTGCAGGTTTCACCACCATCTTATAAATTTTTTCCCTTAAGTTTGAGGGGTACTTTTCTATCAGACAGCAGGCCGAATGCATTCCTCCACTTAAACCATCCAACTTGAATTCTACAAATAATATCCACATCTATTTTACAATCACTTTGAACAATAGACCCGAGATATCTAAAATATGTACTCTTTTTTATGGTTTGATCGCCCAAAGTCTTAATACCCCCACTAGATCTATTACTATTAAAATAACACTATGTATTCGGTTTTAGACTCTAAGGTTGACCTTCATAATTCAAGTCTTCCTTCAACTATCTCTAGTCTTATCAACAAGAATATATATATATATATATACAACTTCAAAAGCTCATTACCAACTAAAGAAGCGAAATAAGAAAACTCTCCATCAAAAAATCCTAATCACTCGAGTGGACCAAAAATGATTGGTAGTTGCACTAGAACGCATGCTGGCGCGAGGGCGTATGTGCATGTTTGTGCACATACTTATGTGGGTGCATGTGTGGGAACGTACATGTGCATGTGTGTATGTGTGCATGCATGTGTATGCACGTGTGCATTTTCGCATATTTTGCGTGAGCGTAAATGTGTGCACGTGCGTGCACATCTATGCACATGTGTCTGTATAGAAATCTCAAAACCATGAAAATATTCATACAATAATACACAATAATAGCATGCACAAATTGAGAGAATTATGGATCAAATGCAAGAATCCCAAAATCATGAAAGCAATAATTTAATACTAAAATCATGCACAAAAGTCATCACAATATCTTCATCTCCCTGCCATGAAAGCAAGCAAATAAAAAAAGTAAATAAAGCCTAAAGGTAAATATCAATATAGTTCTTAGGATCAAATAAAAGTAAGAAAAAAAAAACTTAAATTAGGTTCTCAAAACCTAAAGCAAATATTGGTTGGATCATTACAGAATTGTTGGATTAGCAGCAAGCAATGAAGATCAGAAGCAAACACCGGAACCAACAAAAATAGGGAACACTGAGGTTGATTACAAAATTGCAATGGCTTGCGTGACTTCCTAATAGGTCATGACTGGTTGCAATAGGGAAGAGCAAAAATAAATGGTGGATTATGATGGCATGTGTAATGGCCTAACAGGTTGTGGCCAATTGCAACAAGGAAGATCGATGCATGTAGGCAATTAATGGCAGATCACAACAGCTCATGTGAAGGCCTGACAAGCCACAACTGATTGAAATTAGGAAGATTGGCATGTGCAATTGGTGGGCTGTGACAAGGCAATAGAGCAGATCATTGATAACATTTCTCAAGAAATGTTATGAGAAGATGGATAGGGGGGGAGCGCTACACTGAGAAAGAAATTGAGATGAAAACGAGGATCCTAGGGTACACTTGGACTCCGTCTCTTCCTTATTTCGGATCATCACTGCAACTCTATTTAACTTGTAAAGGTAGCATAATGTGATGGAAAAGGACATATTTTGTAACTTGTGAAGTGTCTCTGCATCATAGTAGGTACCATCATATGATGCAGGAAATAATTATTTGGATGTCTATGTATAACTTCTCCAATAATAATATAGAACATATGCGTCAGCCATAGAAGGAAAGAAAAATGAAGCATAATGAAATTGCTAAACCATAGATGAACAAAAGCAACAGAAAATTCCATCAACAGCCATGCATCACGTGAATAAATAATCTAATACTGGCAGAAAGAATCATTCTGAGGATTACTGAATTAAAAAACTTCAAATTCGCTGCGACTTTGGCATATCCATCTTTGATCTGTGCATCCAAACCTACCAAATTGGCTACTGCGGATGGAGTCCTCCTACAGAAGAACCATGAAATTACATAAATGGGATTAAAGAAACAATTTCCTTCATTAAGAAAATTTAAATTTAGAAATCAGAATCATTTTGATCAATGTTCATTACAATTTAGTACAAATAAGTAAAATAAAAAATTGCTTAATATCCTTCAAGAAAAATGACATAAATTTGTCAAAAACTCAATTAATTATTGCATGTAAATAAATACCTACTCAAACAAAAATCTCGCAGCAAGCAACCCAGGGCTGCCAGCACCAAACCACTCAAAATTCCATCGACCTTCAAGAAAAGGTGACCTGATAAATTAGAATAAAAGTAACATTGTAAGAGAAAAATAAAGTTTCGCATCCATAAACATATGAAAAAGAAGAAATACAATTGGAGTATATATACTCAAATGTTTAAAAGCATTAGCTAGACTAAGAAAGCTGTGAACAAAATACAAATTATTCACCCACAGACTGCATGTTCACAATAGAAAAAGCATAAGCTATTATTATAACAAAACTTACGTAGTGGGACGAGGAGTAGGATTTAATCGTTCGAGGCCAACAACTCTCTCATTAACATCTATTTGTTGTATTTCAGTCGTTTTCCCACTGATTAAAGATTCAAAACCCCCAGCATCCTTAAACTGAAAAGTCATTCAAAAACCTCAGAGATTTGTAGGAAAAGATAGGATAATGATCCATCTAAGAAGCATACTACCAAAAACAAGCTAATCTACTAAGAAAATAGACAATCACACACAAAAAGCCAAAAGCAAATTCAAAACATATAAAGCATGAGATGGAAACAGGTAGTTGAGAAATCAAACTTTTTACATAGCATGAGCTTTACATCAATATCACCATCAATCACTAGCCAAAACCCCAAACAGTTGGAGTTAGATTTTTAAATCTTCCATTGCTATTTCCCCTATATTTATTACAGATTGGAGAAAAAAGTGTCCAAATCTGCATTTAGTTTAGATAGACAAACTAAACCAGTTTTAATGATTTATGGGCATGTTACATTTAGCCTCTACCACTTTTCCTGCCTACCCCGTTAGGATTCATTCTGGCTCCTACGTTACTGGTATGCTCTCCGCTCTTTCAAGGATATTCAAAACCATGTCAAACATCAGAATTACCACAAAAGCCAAGCATGTTGAAGCAAACAAAGCTGAAAAATTAATCTCAGGGCCTGTTTAGCAACAATTAGGAATTAACTTTAGTAGGATTTAGTAAATCCTATAAATCCGGATCTAATAAATCCTGGCTATGTTGAATTCTGAAACTGTCAAGATAACTGGTAAATCCTGTTCAATCGTTTGGCAACACAATCAAGAGTTTAAGGCAGTTAGTGTATTAAAAACCTAAATATAATTTATGTTTTGAATTTAATCTGCATGTCAAGTATTATCAATTTTAATTGTAATTACAACCAATAAATTATAAGGATAAACAATATAATTAGAAGCTAGCTTAATTAGCAAATAATTTACCTAATGATTTAATTACACGGGAAGATCAAACTCCACCCAGTTTATGAAACCAAGTAAACAAGCATTCCACTGGCGCTTGCACTAATCAAGATGAAGCAAAGGATCTCTTAGACTCTAGAAGTAATGGGAAAACTGAACTCACAGCTAGGAGAAGAGATTCCTTCGCGGAGAGCCTCTCCATTTCTTTGGCATAGTTCGCGGAGGCTCCTTGGTAGGTTTGCTGCTGAACCATAGCTTTCCATCTGCAGCCGCGATGCCGACGGCGGAAGCCTAAGCTCCGGTGACTCTCTGATAAGTTGACCAACTTAGTCGAGGAGAGATGCAAGGCAGTAATCGCCTGGAAACCTACGAAAGTGGCAGCCATGACTTCCTTAACCCTAGATTTTCTCCAAGGAAGGCAGGCCGGAGTGTGGACTGTGGACTTCCACAAACGCGGGATATTTTTGTCATTAAAATATTTAAAAACAAATGAAGTAATCAGCCGTTTTAACTTCTAGATGTTCTCCTACTTTATTATTTTAAGGCAGATCTCTATTCGTGTATGGGTCTCCCAAATCCTTTTCACATTTAAGTTGGATATTAATTTTTAATTATAATTTTTATTTTGACTAAATAGGAAATCAAGTGCAATAAAGAATAATATGCATTAATTTAAACATAGGAAATTTAATAAGATGTAAAATGAACATGAAACAATCACAAGGTACTAACAAAGACAAAAAATAACAAAAATAAGCGGCTGCCTACCATCAGCGCTTAGTTTACTATAAAAAACGCTCATTTTCGATGGCTATATTCATCAGAAAATGTGAAATTACTGGGAAAATAAGTTTTTGGTGGAATTCCGACAAAACATTTTTCTTCAAGAAAACATGCGTAGAAAAATAAATACCGGCAAAATTGAAAAAAAAAATTCAGTGGATTTTCTTCGAAAATTTGTTGTTAGAAAAATAAATAAAAATTACTCAAATTCTACCCTTATTAAATTAGTTAATTTAATTTAACAATATTTATTTTTAATTAATTTAAACTATTTAATGTAACATAACAATAATCATTAAAACCATTTATTTATTTTAGTTTAATAATATTTAATTTAATTTGATAATAAGTTATTAAATTAATTAATTTAAATTAACAAAAAAGAATAATTCTAAATATTATGATAATTATTTTTCAAAAAAAATAAATTATGTCGAAAATAAATCCATTGGAAATCTTGTCAAAAAATTTGTCGGAAATATTCCGTCAAAAATTCAATCATAAATTTGTATTTTTCTTGTAGTGGTTTATAGTCTCCAGTCAAATTAAACATCAAATATAAGTGGGGTTCCTCCCATCAACATTAAGTTTAAGTCTTCAGTCAAACTATACCAATTATTATATTTCAGGATAAACCACCTCAATTATATTTCTTAATAGATCCATGTCCCCACCAAAATAGGTTTTAGTCTATGACCAATAACCATGAAAACATGCAAACTTTTTTTTATCTTGAATTTCAATAGTTCCATAAGGAAATACTCTCATGATAGTGAATGATCCTGACCACCTGAATTTTATTTTTTCCAAGGATAAATTCTTTGTTAAGAAGCTTACGATCCTACCATTTTTTTAACTTTATCCTTATAAATCTTATATTTTTATAAGCCTCTTTTTTTTTTTTTGAGTTCATTCAAATGTATAAATCTTTTATATTTTGTTTCTTCAAAATTGAAATTCAATTTTTTAACAACCCAAAATATCTTATGCTCTAATTCTACAGGACGGTTGCAAGCTTTTTCAAAAGCTAATTTAAAGGGGGACATGTCAATAGGAGTTTTAAATGCAGTTCTATATGCTCATTATGTATCATTTAACTTATTAGCATAATCATTTCTTTTAGAACTATTTTTTTTTTTTAATATGCTTAATTTCCTTATTGTTGATCTCAGCTTGGCCACTGGTTTGGGGATGAAAAGTAGTTACAATCCTATGATGAATCCCTTATTTTCTTAATATTGCTTCTATTCATTATTGCAAAAATGACTTCCTCCATCACTGATTAGAACTCTATGTATTTCAAATCTAGAAAAATTATTTTTTCTTAAAAAAAACTATCATAACCTTAGCATCAGTTCTAAGAGTTGCCACTCCTTTAATCCATTTTAAAATATAATTAATAGCAATGAGAATATATTGAATTACATGGGATTGCACAAAAGGTCCCATAAAATATAATCCTCAAACATCAAATATCTCAACCTCTAAATTATAGTTCAAAGGCATTAAGTTTCTTTTTGAAATATTGCCTAATCTTTGACATTGATCATATTTTCTAATATATTCATTAACATCCTTAAATAGAGTAGGTCAAAAAATTCATATTTGAAGATTTTAGAAGCAGTTGTACAACCTCCAAAATGTCATCAATTATCCACCCAAAAAGCTTTTTTAAAATCACTTAAAATCCTAATCAATTTACTTTCTTGATGTTTTTCTAAGTTTACAATAATGATTATAGGAAGAGTTGATTTGTCACCAAGGAAATCATACTTAAGATGCTTGGGTAAAATCTTAAGCTCTAAATTAGGAGCTTCATCTATATAATGATCACACAAAAAATTATTTTTCAATTATTCAACGTGACAACCGTGTTCTAATACCATTTCTTGGATTCAATGGAAATGAAAAATAACTTTCATTATCTCCGAATTACATGTTAAATCATCGAGAAAATTAATGGAAACATACTTGAATCAATTGAAAATGCAGAATTGAGATTATGATGTTTTTAATCTTCCATGTTTGAAGCGGCATTCTCCAAGAGAGCGACATGTCCCTTCTTTTCACTCAAGATGGAAAAATGAGAGAAATAAAAACTTCACCGCATAAACTGGAAACTATGATCCTTTTATACTTTAAATATATTTATTTTATTTCAATCCATCATCAACAACAACAATAACAATAAATCTTTATCCCATTATTCGGGAGTCGACAACATGAATCCTTTTTCTATATTATATCTTGTTCAAGGTCAAATTTCAGCCCATCATTGAAATAAAATAAATACTTGGACTCTACGTAATATTTAAATCGACACAAATTTAATTGAAATGTCACATAAGTAAAATAATAATTTAATTCTTAAATAGACCACGAATTTAATTAGCCCAATTTTAGATAGCAATTAATATATAATACTTAATTTATATGTATAAATATATGAATCCACGTATAAAAGTTTCCCAACGTCTTAAACTATGTGAAGATACAGCATTTAAACTCTTATGGATCTATAAACTGAGTGTTAATAGGAGCAAGAAGAGTAAAAAGCAGAAAATTTGCAACATATACCAAACCAGCACGCCAATATTGCAGGCAGGTGTTTAATCAAAGAAAGAAAACTACACAGCATGAACTTTATACAACTTCTGAAAGAGCAATAGAAGAAATTCATAGGACATTCAGAGTATCTCATCTTTATTTAAATAATTTAAGCTTCGTTTGGGACGGCTTTTTTATCGCTTCTTAAAGTTGATTTTTGTACTAAAAATTTATTTTAAGAAACTGTAAAAGCGCCTTCCCAAATGAAGCCTTAATCTTAAAATTCTGCAATCCATGGTCTTCTAATCAACGTTTAAAAGACCAGCTTCTTCATAGTACTGAACTGAATCAGAAATAGCCTCCTTTAGTGTCCTGTGCTTCCAACCAATCTTCCTCAATTTCTCCGAACTCATATGTAAATCTACGCCCAGCCCACGGAAACTGTCATTTAATAACAAAAATTCAGATTAATAAAACATGAAATAGGAAGGATGGTAATATATGTAATCTTCCTGCATCAAGATAGCGGCAAGTCTTACTTTTCAGGGTATTTGAAACCAGGAAATATGGTCTTCAACATGTCGAAGAGGTCACCAATTTGAATGGGGTCAAGCGTGCAAATATAACGCCCAGATGCCTCTTGCTTCTCATATATCATAAGCGCTGCATCAGCTACGTCTCTAACATCCACAAAATGCCAGTTACGATCTTTCTCCATAAGGTCACTGGATCCTATACAAGTTGTTGATTCATCTTTCCACTGTTATTTTTTTTAAGATGGATAGTTTAAGGTTTTACAGGATTCTTATAGTTAGGGGTGTCAATTCGGGTCGACGGGTCGGGTTCGGGTGGAACCCGACTTGACCCGGGCGTAAACGGGTCAACCCGAACCCGACGTATTTAAATAAACGGATCAAAAAATTAAACACGAACCCGATCCGCACGGGTTGCCGGGTTGACCCAACCCAACCCACGGACCCGTTTAATTCAAAAAATGGGAGACGTCATGCTACGGCGGGAGTGGAGTCGACGACGCGACGTCCACCTGCTGCCTGCAGACCGCGGAGGTTGCATTAAAAATAGACGGTGCGACTAGCGGAGGCCGGAGTGGTGCAGACGGATGCGATGCAGCGATGGCGTCTGGCGGAGCGGCACGGACCGACAGACCCCGTAGACTCACGGAGGCGCAAATGCGACTGGCTCGGAACCCCAAACTGGCAATGCGGCGGACGTGACTCAGCGATGGGCAGAATGACATATGTGATGGTTTGACCGCGATGGACAGACACGGGAAAGACAAACGAAGTAAATTCGGATTTTCAAAATATAAACGGGTCAATTCGGGTTGACCCGCGGGTTTCCGGGTCAATCCGAACCCGACCCGTTTCACAAACGGGTTGACCTAAACCCGAATTTTTCCGGGTCGGGTCCGGGTCGGATTTCAGGCCGTGTCAAAAATTGACACCCCTACTTATAGTATTAAGGAAACTAAGACTTCGTTTGGGACAGCTTGTTTGTTGCTTATTAACGCAGTTTTTTAGTACAAAAATTAAAATTTTTATACTAGAAAGCTACTTTAAGAAGCAACAAGAAAGTTGTCCCAAACAAAGTCTAAATCAGACTACTTGGTTATTGGTATAGTACATAAGTGTACCTTTCAAAACGTCGAGGAGCAAGAAGCTGCTAACATTCACTGTTGATTGCAGTAGAGGTCCAATAACTATACTTGGACTGAGAGTGACCAAATCAAGTCCAGTTTCCTGAGCATGTCTGAATGCTTCCTTCTCTGCCATTGTCTTGGAAAGGGAATACCAATCCTACCAACATCACGAACATGAATTCTACTTTGTAAACATTTTAGATTATTTAAATAGTTAAAGTGAAGGCAGTTCATTGATTGTTAATGCCCCAAGCAATGGCTACAACTGCACTTCTGGTGTGAGGTCTATTTAAGGGAAGTTAAGATTTTACATTGCCAATATAAAAACACTAACTAATCCTATATCTTAAACTTTCTTCTTTTAACTGTTTATGTGATGCGGGCCAAACACTTCTAATTAGCTTCACATTTTCAAGGCCTTCATCACAAAGGTAGCAATTTTAGCCTTCCTCACCCTTATTCGAGGACATTTCTCGTCTCTGAGCACAA